CCCCAAAACCCCAAAACCCCAAAACCCCAAAACCCCAAAACCCCAAAACCCCGCCTGGTATTTAATAAATAGACAAAGAGCTTAATATAAATTATATAAAGATATGAACCCCTTTCACGAGCAAAATTTCAGTAAAGTTTCTAAATTAGAGACTCCTGAGCATGCCTCGGAAGGTGAGAATGATAAGAAAACGCCAACATTTCTAAACTCCTTCCTTGATATAAAAGTAGGTAATCTTGGGGATACAGGAGCTTCAGGCCTTATGGGTGACATTCAGACACACGGCACTGATTCCAACTCATTATTCGTAGATGATCCTCCAAGTAAGTATTTAATGGCCGAGATGAGCTAGGCATTGTGAGATATCAGATTTTTGAATTTTTGATTTTGATGAATTCTAGTTTCGTGTTTGAAATTTTTCAAATTGGCATCAAGATTTAAATTGGTTACAAATTTAAGAATATTATCAAGAGTAGACGCTTTGTGCTACTTTGAAAAACTAGGCTCAACCTCAATTTTGCTATTACACCTCTTCCTATCTAAATATCTCTTGCATTTTCCTGCTATTGACGACTCTTCCTGTACTCAAATCCCACTTAAAATCCATATAGAGCTAATTGACACTGAAAATATCTTACTAGAAGAAACAGAGACTCTTCCAGGCTTGGCTCCTCCTAGAGATAGGAAATCAAAATCATGAATCAAGAAGCCCAAGAAGCCCAAGAAGAAGGCTAGGACGAACAAGAAGAAATAAGAAATCTCAGAGAGATCAGCTAGGGAACGACTTTGAAGGCTACACTCCTACTACCACTTTCACTCATTTAAATCCATGCCTGATTCCTGAAACCCACCAGCTTTGTAAGGAACTTTCTGAAAGTAAGCACTTCACTTAGTCTAACCTAATGCCTTTAGGAATGGGCAATGATGAACAAGGTATATCCAACAGCGAGTTTGTCGAGATCATTTGTGAGAGACTCGGCGAGTCTAATAGACAAAGAACTGAAAGGTACTCTTTTAGCGGTCTGACGGATTTTATTTAGCCATGACTCTCAGCGTAAATTCATGAATTACAAATTTGTCAAGCTATTAAAAATAATAGTGAAGCATGTAGGCAAGAAGATCGTGCTTGTCCTCTTAAAAGAGACTGCAACTGTACAGGAAGGAGGTAAACTTCAGTTCTAATCCATAGGTGGAATGAAGGTAAAAGATAAGTCAGAAGCTAGAAATAAGACACCTGGAGGTGTCTTCATTTACTTATTAAAGAATAGTTCCTCAGTGAGTGACGAAGTGAAGAAGCAAATCTTCCAGGAGGAAAGGAAAGCAAGGAGGCAGGAGAAAGCTCTCTCAAAGAAGCTTGAAGGGCTTGCTCTTCTCTAGAGGATATCTTCATCACATATCCTTTTGTAATGATATGATTCAATTATTTCGCCTTGAGAAGGGGTTTTGGGGTTTTGGGGTTTTGGGGTTTTGGGG